TTATATACATCATAAAAACAGGTTTTGGTTTTTGTGCAGGTTTATATGCTCAAAAAATTTATTAATAATTATATAATAATTTATCCTTATTTCACCTCCATGTATAAAATGAGCAGTGACGACATGCCAAAAATGACACAAAAGACATTTTGTCTTCCAGTGGAAGTGCTGACCTGTGCAAGTCTCCACACATGGTTTTAATTTATCTGCCACACTGTGCTTTACTCAGTGAAAATGAACTTTAACAGAATTCTGATCTTTTAAATCGTTTTTAAGATACATACCACAAAACGTGTTCTTTTTTTTACAGTGTGTTCTACTAATGCTGTAGATTTATAAGTTCATAAAAAAAATACGTTTTTATCCCTTAAGGCATTTTAAATCAAAAGTGTTTAAATCATAGATTAAAAACAAGTTTTTATTGTAAGTGGTAAAAATGTATGCATTTTAAAGGTTATCGTCCTGTCTGTGGTTAATGTTTAATATACAAGGAAGTAAACCTCAAAATTATAGAGATATACAAAGGAATGAAATGCCACCACAGCTGTATGCCTGTAAACATATCTGAACAAATATAAAACATATAAAGAAATATATAAAACTTATAACCTAGACATATACTTGGATTTAGACATGAAACAACACGTAGTGTGGTACAGAATTCTGTCTTGCCATCTTTGGGTAAGAGAGAGCGGATACACACTTCTGTGGGATGTGTTTGTGCAGCTCTCCAGGAGCTTGCCAGGACAAACAGACTTCTGCTTTACAAAAGGCTTTTCGGTAGATGGGCCTGTACTGATGCGCAAAACTGGTGAGCCTGGAAACATTAAAGGGGTCATATAATGGTACATGCACTTTTACAAGTTGATTGTACTGAAATGTGTGTTGGCAGTGCCTGTACACAACCATCATATAATGATAAAAATCCATCCAGTGTTTTTGTTTTAATCTCCTTATATGTTTTCCCCTGCCTCAAATCAAGCCGTTCGTTTTTGTGACGTCAATAAAACGGACGCCCCTCCCGCGATTGTTGATTGACAGCAGTGATTCAACACAGACCCGCCCTCGCTCGTCCTGTCAATCATAGTCCGCACGGATCGGCGCGGTCATTGTTGATATGCTGGAGCACTGTCTATGAGCAGAATGGCGTCTAAGCGATTGTGGTGTTCTGTTCTTGGGTGTAATAACGAACACAGCAGTCATTTTAATGTTCCTAAATCCGAACCGCTGAAGACGCAGTGGCTGAGTTTGTTTTCGAAGGGAATATTCCCCACGAGCAACGTCATGCTCTCATGTTTGCCGAATCATTTCTCAGTGGACTGCTTTATAAACGAGGATCAGTGTAAAGCTGGTTTTGCTGAGAAGCTGCACCTGAATAAAGGATCGGAACCTATTCGTGTTCCTGCTGAACCTTCAGAAGAACTAAAGTGAGTGTAACGTTTTATTAATCTTTATATTAATCTTTATATTAATCTTTGCAAATCGCCAGCTGCACGCTTCACGATGAATGCGTCGGTTTACACTCAGGGTACATTACAGCATGTTTTCTATGTACAACGTTCTCAATATAATTCATAATCCCACGTTTATAATGAACAACGTGTTATGGTATTGTGGTATTGTGTTACAAACGGTGTATGCGCAGAACAGAGGGGCGGGGTGAGGAAAGCTCATTATCATTTAAAGTCATATGCACTGAAACGGCGTGCTGAAAACAGAGCTGTTTTTGACCAGGTAAAATAAGTGTTTTCTTACAATACTAATGAGAATTTTTAATTAAAGTATATTACAAACTTTTAATTTAGACCCTAAAGAATCATATTAGCTTGTACAAAAATGGCATTATATGACCCCTTTAAACAAACAATTCACTATAAAAATAAAATTCAGCTTAATAATTCTTCTGTTATTTTTCAATTACTTAAACGCTAAAGCAACTTTTTGGAGAATCTTCAAACAACTTCAAACACCCCCCCCCCCCCCACCCCAAAAGCACCATAAAGGTCTATCAGATTAAGCAGTCACCTTCTCAGTTGCCTGAATTAAAAAAATATATAAAATAGTAGTACATTTGTACATTATTTCATCTGACTTGGAAAAAAGGTTCAATGGGGCTCTAAAAGGTTTTTGACTCAGTTGTAGAGAACCCTTTATGCCAAAACGGTTCTAGATGAGGAGAAATGTCTAGTGAAAATGATTTCAAAATACTTTTCAAAATGCGATTGTTTATGAGCTGTTTAAGGTTTAGGTCTGGGGTAGGGTTAGGATTAGATAGCGTCATCTAACTGACGTTAAAGGGTACCCTAAAACGTCGGATGTTGACGTATGGTCAAAAGCGTCAGTCATATGACGTCTTGGGATGAGACTGGGCTGTTAATTCATATAGTTTAATTAAAATTAAAAATGAATTAAAAAAATAATAATAATAATAATTAAAAATAATCAAAATGATCCCCTGATGGGAACATTTTAAATGGTTCTATATATGAGTACATTTCAAACACTTTGTTTGGACGAGCTGGAGGATGGCCTTTCATGGCTGACACCGCCGTCGGTGTGTGAATGGGTGAATGTGAGGCAATATGTAAAGCGCTTTGGTGGCCATTGGGTCTGTGAAAGCGCTATATAAATGCAGTCCATTTACCATATGCATAACCGTTTACTCTGAGCATTCGTAAGTGTGTGACCTCGTGAAATGCTGTGGGTGGGAAGTGTGCGGGAAACGGGACAAAACTCTTGAGGCTGTGTGAATTCACGCATTATAATATTGAGTTTAGTTTTTAAAGTATTTGTCTGTTCTTTTATTTGTCTTTGACATGTTAGCTCTGATTTATTCATCTATTTGTTCGCGTGAATGATTGGTGATGAAATGAAGAAACATACCTGGAGAAATGGAAACAGGAGCCATGATTCAGAGAAGTGAAAGAAAAGAAAAGCTGTGCATGTTTCAGGCATGTTCACAAACTAAAAGAGTGAATCTTTATATATATATATATATATTGTTACGTCCAAGGACGTATATTTTTGGGAAGTACATGGTACTGTGATCTTTGTGTGTTTTCTTTGTTGTTTTGGTATCTCCTGCTCTCTTTTGGCTCCTCCCACTTTTCCACTCTGGCAGGTAGCTGATTACGTCTCCAGCTGAACCTGCTTAGCAGCCAGGAGGGACGCAGCATAAAAGCCAGCAAAACTACCATTCAGAGAGAACCTTTCTCCAGAGCATGGTCTGTGTCCTGCCCGGCCCAGTTGTTGAGAGCTGTTGTTGTGGACCTGTGCAACACTGTGCCTCTTTCTGTCGCTTTGGCCTAGAGAACTGTTGCTTTGTTGCTGATTGTTAGTTACTGGAGCCACACACTGTTGCTTCTTTGTGAGACATCCCAGTCCATACCCTTTTTTTGCTTTGTCATAAGCTGTTATTTATCTGATTATTTGCTTTGTTTATTGTCTGCGAACTGTAGGGAGGTGGGTGCCATTTTTATTTTGCTATCCCCTGTTTTCTCCTGGTTTGTGGTCAGGAAGGGAGAGAGTGTACATTTCTGTTATTTATTTGTATTTTCTTTAAGAGGTTTAGTAAGAAATTGACTCCCCCAGGCAGATTAAACTTTTGTTTGTTATTTTGGCTTTGTCCCCTCCTGAAGTCTTTGTTTCCTTCCCAATTTACTCTCTAAGTAAATTGTTATCAACTTTTGAATAAAATTGTTAAAAAGAACTTCGTTGTTGTGGTGCTGTGGCAGGGCCCTGACTATTGTTCTTTAAAATCACAAACTCTGTTACGTTCTGACCCCTAGATACTCATAGGATGTAACAATATATATATAATATTATATTGCCGAGTGACGTTTTAATGACACCTTGCATGTAAAGATGTTAATCAGCAGACAATGAAACAATCATATTGATCAGTGAATCCACAATAAACATTTACAATTAAATGAAAATAAGATGTCATTATTGTAATGATATCAGTTTTGAAATCAGTCCGTTTTTCATCTGCTCTCATAGACTGCATGTTGACACACAAACAAACAAACACACACACACACACTCACTCATGGCCCTTTCATCTGATCATTTCTCGTTTGTTGTGGAATCAAACTGATTGAATTCAACACACTTGATTTGATTTTATCTGATGAATGAGTGATTTGATTCTCAACTCTGAATGTTCGACACTTGACAGTTGTTTGCTTTTATCAGCTGTAGGATCTTTAGTTTTCTCTCTCAGAACGGTAAATATGTCACTCAAACAGAAGAGGATATGGCAGTAAAGCTTAGACAAGGTCATGGGTTCGATTCTTGGGGAATGCATGAACTGATCAAATGTAAACCTTGATTTTAAGGCGCTTTGGATAAAAACATCTGCCAAATGCATACAGTAAATATAGTTCATTGTTCATATTTCAGAAAACTAATCTCAAGGTTGATCTAAACTTATACTAAAATCATTCTACCTTCAAATCTCTTATCTGAATATCTAAAGATTTACAGCACAGAAAGTTCATACAATGGAAATGAATCAAACCTGAACTTACTTAAGCTGGACAATGACTTTCTTCTAGATCTGCTGTACAACCGAAACAAACTTAGTTGCATTGTTTTACTGTTATCACTGTAAAGCTGCTTTGAAACAATTTGTTTTGTAAACAGCACTATATAAATAAAGGTGACTTGACAAGTAACAAAAAAATAAGGCATAAATTCAGATCATCTCTGTGCAGCTACCCTTCACCCACTTTACTAGTTTTACTGGTATACTGTAACTTATCCATCATCATGTGATGATAAAAAACTTTCCGGATAATCATCTTTAGAGTATTACGAGCCATTATTTATTTATTTTTTTTATTTTATTTTTTTATAAAAAAGTACACTATACAAAGCCACACTGCTCAAAGTATTAGAAAATAGCAGGTACAGAGAATATGAAAAGTAAAATTTAGAAAAAGAGCAAAACCAAACACAGTTTGGGATTTGTTGCATTGCCTCTTAATGTTCATACACACACACACACACACACACACACACACACACACATCAAAGAGATCCATACTGTACCATTATTTCACAGAAATCAATATAAAACAGAAACGTATAAAACAGAGTTTTAAAACCTTCAACCAGAGTTATATAGTTCAGTAGTTTGAGGTATAACAGATAGTACTGTATGTACAGATATAGTTTATGGAGTTCCTATAAAGCTTTTGTCTTTCATGATCTTCACATTTAAAGTCAAACAAAACTCAATGTTTTCTGCCGAGTCAGTGATATTATAACACATTTTCTGGATTTTGCTCTTGGAAATGGCTATTGTTATCATCATGTCTATGGCCCAGAAATATCCTCCTCAGGAATCCACAAGGTTTGCTGTAGTTTGGTGTCTTTTTGTAAATGATTGTCATGATGATGATGATGAGGATGAAACAGCCCGTAACTGCAGCGATGACAGTGGTCTTAGATCCATCGACTTCAGGACTCTCCGTTGTGGAAATGCGTTTCTGCGTTTCTGATTTCAAAAAGTAACACCATAATCAATGTAATATATTTCGTATAGTGACATGGTTCATGTTTACTGGTCTCTGTTAACAGATTTTAAACCACTGTTATAGATTGAAAATAAAAGTATTGCAAACATTTATTGAATTATAAACAACAGTATTATATATGGTACCTGTTATATCCACAGTGAATACAGTTGATTTCTGTCCACACGTTTGGATAAAGAATCTGAATTGTTCCGTCATTGCTGTAGTTGAACTGAAGCTGCATGTGAAGCTGTTTCTCTGTTCACAGGAGTCAGGAGGAAACTCTTTTCTACAGATTGCAGAGTCATTATATTTCTTAGGATATTGAAACTTATACATTATAATGCAGCATTCAGACTTCTTCAGAGAGACGCTGCAGGTGAAAGTTACTTCTTTCCTCTCAGTTCCAGTCACATTCTCACAGCTTACACTGAAGTCATCTGAAAAATAACAATGCATATCATATAATACAACAACTGAACAATAATAAATATTTTTTTGTTTGTTTTTCTCAGTAAACTTTTAATATATCAGACTTTATGTGTATGTGTCCATGTCAATAATAATAAACATTCATTAAATAACCTATTCTTAAATAAAATCACTGCATCGTGTGTTTTTGTACATTATAGTTTGAACAGGGTTTAATATCTGGTAATGGGATGATCATATATTTTATTATTTAAAATTAATTATAGCTTATATATTCAATAGTAATATACACACTGTCTCTGCATGCAACATCCTGACTGTTTTATGGTGACCATATTTTGATTACCGAAAACCAGGACACTCTGCTCGGCAGTGAGATACTCAAATAAAACTCGAATTTTACTCAAAGATGCCTTATTAATTTCAATACATTTAAAGTAGGCTATGCCTCTGTATGGATAGAAAATTGTAATTACAAAACACTATCTATAAGATCTGTGGCACCTGGACACCGAAACATATGTGCCAGGTTTGCACACGTTTCAGATCAGATAAAGATTTGACCTTTTTATTATTATTATTATTATTATTATTATTATTATTATTGTCATAGACTTAGTCCCTCCTCAATTCTCTTACCATCAGCTTGACAGACAGCAGTAAAAGTCCAAACCAGAATGAACAGTTGCACTGCATTTACAGCATTCATGGTTTTCATTCTGCAATAATAAAAAACAACAACAGAAAGTTGCATAAGACGAGAAACTTAAACAACTAGGACTAATAAGGAAGTGCTAGAGATTAGAAGAGATGATTTACTGTAAACTCGGTAGAGATGCCAGAATTGAATTAAATCATTTTGCGAGGTTTCACACAACATAATGAATCATGCATTAATTTAGAGGTGTTGATCGACTCACGAGTGTAAATACAACCACAAAACCACAATAATAAACAATAAAGCAGAGAACACAACGAAACGCATCCATCCATGATAATAATCATGATCAAAATGATCACAAACACGCAGAAAAACTGTTTTCTATAGGCTATTTAAAAGACATATTGAAAAATCTGTAAAATGTGCAAATCGCATAATACAAAGATACCATGCATGTGCTGAAGATTTTCCTGTGGCTGGTTATGGATTGGTAAATATAAAGGAGATTATTCTCCCGTTGAGAGAGTTATTGCTCACCTCTGGTCTGTATGTCTTCAGCATGTGTGAGTTCATTCACTCTGACTCTGTCTACAGCTCACATTGGTTTATACTGGCTACATTTTTACTTGCACTTTCAAAATGACTCGTTGCTCTCAGGACATGTCGAAGTATTTTCGCCCAGCAGTCGGTGCTGTTTTGCAAATCTCCCCTTCATGACGTAATGCTGCAATTTTGCATTTCAATATGTCTAATAACAGTGAAGATACCGACAGGGCTGTATAGCCTCGCTAAATGTTGCAAATGAACATCAAAAGATTTTAAACATTTCTAGTGGTTTAACAGCACTCGTCAATGTCAAAACAATTGAGATGACCAATCAAATCAAGGGGATGTAGCTAAACATTTAATATTTTATATATTATTGTATAGGCTATTAAATGTTATTACGGTAATATTATATATTTTAAAATGAAAAGATATTTGCCAATAGTTCAAATTGATTACCAAAAAAAAAAAAAGATCTTATTGGTTTTTTTTACCGTTCTCGGATCCCTTTCTGTTTAGCTACCAAGGTCATCGATGTGTTAAACTATTTAATATGCAATGTCAATATTTAAAATATATATATATATATATATATATATATATATATATATATATATATATATATATATATATGCCTATGTAGCCTAAGTAGATGAATATACGGAATGGTTCTACAACTACAGAACCCGCTGATCAATGAGGTGTTGTCGCTTAATTTGTTTACCTGAACACATTTTTTTCTTTGTAAGGCACATTGTTTAGTAAAGCTGCTTTTGAAAGACAAAGTGATATTTAAAATAATTATATTTATTGGAGGAACCCTTATCACCAATGAGAGAACCTGTCACTGCAAAATCTCTCCCTCGTGTAAACAGGGTTTTTAATAGTTTGCCTCACCTGTACAGTCCTTAAACCATGTCAAAACATGATTGCAGATTGTCTAATATTTTCCATCATTACAAAAAATACAAGTCACAACTATTGTTTCTCAAGCGAGGTACTTCCCATGGCCATGGTGCTTTAGGGAAACTTTCACTGGAATAAACATTAATTTATAATCTCTTTGGAATCCTTACTTTGTAGTCTGTGTCTCGCCCAAACTTTTCCATTCATCCTTCTGGGCTCAAATTCCTGGCATCGGGACAATCTGTTCAACTTAAAAGCTTGGTTGAGCTAATAAAAATCAGTGTGAGATAGTCTGAGGCACACTGATGGACACGTAACTGGTTTAAAATAAAGTCAAAATGAAGGTGCAGTTCATAATCTTTACATCACTGTATCAGTATCAGCATCAGCCACTGAAAAATACATTGGTCAAAGATTAGCCTGCACAGCAAACATATAAAATGAGAAGAAATTACATTACAATCATGCATTTAGCAGACACTTTTATCCAAATTGACTTACAATAGAGCAGGGGTGGGGAACGTTGATCCTGGAGGGCCATTGTCCTGCAGAGTTTAGCTCTGTGGTGGCAATTTTAATGATATTCATTGAACTTTAGTAAAATATAGATGATTCAAAGAATGTCACATGTGTGTCTCTCACTTGTAGTGAGAGAAGATTCTGTTTATGTACCTGGGGAGGCAGAAGAGGGAGAAACTCCAGAGAACAGACGAACAAGGACCTCTGACCTAGATGTCAGAAGGCCATTTGGTGCAGGGGAGCTTAGTGGGCCAACTAGTGACGTCTATGGAAAACTACTGGGAGGAAGGCTCTGGGGGGAAGAAGGCCTTGAAACTAAGATAAAAGCTAGTTCACTCTTCTGCACAGGGTAACAACTGTGTATTAGACTGCTCCTATTCTTGCAAGAATAAATACTTCTATTTTATATAATTTGACTCTGAGTGTCTCTTACGCAGTGATGTTTGTTTGAGATGAATTTTTGCCACAACAGCTCCAACCCTGAAAAAAACACTAACCTGCCTGTAACTTTAGCAATCCTGAAGACCTTGATTAGCTTCAGGTGTGTTTAATTAGGGTTGGAGCTAAACTCTGCAGGACAATGGCCCTCCAGGATCAACGTTCCCCACCCCTGCAATAGAGGAACAAAGGCAATTTATCATAGAACCAACAATAATCATATATCTAGGTGGAGGTTTTGCAGCTCATCACCTGAGAGGAGCAGAGAGGGTGAAGAGTCTGGAAAGTGACGTTGAGAAAGCAACATTAGATCTATGACCGTCTTCTGCTGACGGTTGAGGAAATGTTCTTGATATGTTCCAGGCTGAATTTCTCTGGGAAGGTGCATTTAATCTTGTTAAACCATAAATACAACTTCAGCCTATGAGAGTGATATTGGGGCTTTTGACTGATACTCAAACCACATGATGCTTGAAGGTCCATCTGTTCTCCTTCAGACGGAGATTGCTTCAATCTCTGTGGTTAAAACGGGTAAATATTGTTTATGGTGTTGAACATCAAAAATCCAACTGGTGACTTTTTTGATGTGAATATAGATTATCTGAGACATTTTTTTTTTTGCGAAAATTGAATGCATTTTCTAAGACTTAAAGGGTTAGTTCACCCAAAAATGAAAATTCTGTCAGTAATTACTCACCCTCATGTTGTTCAAACCCCGTAAGACTTTCGTTCATCTTCGGAACACAAATTAAGATATTTTTGATTAAATCTGAGAGCTGGATCACTCCTCCATAGGCTTCTTAAGAGATCGAAACTGGCCGGCCCAAAAGTTATGAAAGACATCGTTAAAATAGTCCGAGTGACTACAGCGGCTCAATCTTAAGTTTATCAAGCGACGAGAATACTTTTTGTGCACAAAAAAACAAACAAAAATAACGACTTTATTCAACTATTCATTTCCTTCTCTGTGGGCCGTGATATTTCACGTAGTGATATTGCGCAAAATTTCTAGGTGGCACGTCACACGCAGGCTCACTATTGGCCGACGCTGGTCATGTGTGTGATGCGTGACGCACAACCTAGCTTTGCATAGTTTCACTACGTGAAATATCACGGCCCACAGAGAAGGAAATGAATAGTTGAATAAAGTCGTTATTTTTGTTTGTTTTTTGCGCACAAAAAGTATTCTCGTCGCGTGATAAACTTAAGATTGAGCCGCTGTAGTCACTCGGACTATTTTATCGATGTCTTTAATAACTTTTGGGCCGGTCAGTTTCAATCCCTTAAGAGAGGAGTGAGACAGCTCTCAGATTTAATCAAAAATATCTTAATTTGTGTTCCGAAGATGAACGAAAGTCGTACGGGGTTGAACAACATGAGGGTGAGTACTGACAGAATTTTCTTTTTTTGGGTGAACTAACCCTTTAAATCACCTACAAAACCCCCAGAAATGTACATAAAATCATGGCCTGATTGTTTGATGTTCATTGGAGTGATTTTACAGCAGTGACATGACAGCACCTGTTAATCTAAAATCAAAGGTAAACGGGTGGTTTATGGATTGCATCACCTCTCCATGCACACTGAGCCATTAAATCATGCGTCAAAGTATGAATACAGTTTGTATTAAATTTTCCATCATTACAAACAATACAAGCCACCCCCATTGCTCCTCAGGTGAAGTGCTACACATGCTTTAGGGAAACTTTCACTGTAATAAACATGCATTTAAAGATGCAGTCGTGGCCTAATGTTTAGAGAGTCAGACTGGTCACCCGAAGGTTGATGGTTTGATTCTCTATACCGGCAGGAAATGACTGAGATGACCTTGAGCGAGGCACCTCACCTCCAATCACTCCCAGGTGTCTGTGTGTGTGTGTGTGTGTTCACTACTCATTACTCTTAATGTGTGCGCTAACTTGGATGAGTTAAATGCAGACGACACATTCTGGTTGCTTGTCCTTCACATGCCACTTTAAAATGCCTTTGGAATTAATTAATTTGGTAATATAGTAGTGCTTTTATATCCCACTGTAAACCCTCAGCATCATGCGGCAAAGAATCAGTCCAAGTATAAAATCCTCAGTTTTACTGGTGTCATAGATCACACCTCTGTGCCTCTCTCCGATCACCGAAGGACACCGTCACCAGAGTATTGAACTTAATTTCCCATCAGCCCCTGCACAGGTGCATCCACTTCTCCCCTGTATATAAACTGCCTCCGAACTACTACACATTGCGAAGTCTTGTTCTGCCCCGGCTAACATTTCCGAGCGTTTGTTCTACTCTGATTGCATCCCTGTTCTCTGATTCTGGCCTGTTTATTGTTTCTCGTGTATTCGCCATTGTTTATGATTCTGGATTTCCTCTGATATTGTTACTGATCTCTGTATTTTGACTGCCTGACTATTCTTTATTAAATATACTGCAAATGGATCCGAACGTCTCTGAATCTGCACCACAGCTGGTATACTGTAACTTAACCAATCATCATGTGATGATAAGTTTCCAGATATTCATCTTTAGAGAGTTTTACAAGTGTTAAATTCAGTTAATTTTCTTTAAATAATAAAAAACCTTTACAAAGCCACATCATTAAAAAATTGCAGGTACAGAATATATATATATATATATATTTTTTTTTTTTTACATATTAAGTTATAATACCACTTACCAAATACAAAATTCACATTCATTATACATTCAATGAAAGTCAGAAAAAAAAAAAAAAAAAAAAACTTTTTGTGCATCGCCTTTTAATGTTCGCACAGGCTTGACTTTATTAAAGCCATATACACGCGCGCACACACACACACACACACACACACACACACACCTATTGAAACCTATACAACGAGAGTTATAGTTCAGTATTTTGAGGTTTAACAGATAATGCATGTACAGATAGTTTACTAGAGTCCCTATAGTCTTTCATGATCTTCACATTAAAAGTCAAACAAAACTCAATGCTTTCGTACTACTGAGTCAGTGATATTATATCATATTTTCTGGATAATTGCTGTTGTCATCATCATGTCTTTCTCTTCTGGATCCACAAGGTTTGGAGTAGGTTTTGTTTCGCAAATGATCGTCATTATAATGATGATGAAACAGCCTGTAACTTCAGCAATGAGAGTATTATTAGATCCAGGACAGTCCTCAGATCCAGGATCCTTACTCTTTTTCCCCCCAAGATTCTCTCCTGCTTTTGCCTCTGGAAAGATGTATTTAGAGAGCAAATGTGAATCCTGGCAGCGGCAGGTCGCACCAACACTTCCGGTGGAAGAACTCTTGACAGCTGCCAGAGTTTGTCCAAGTGTTACGGGAGTTTGTTGCCGTTTCTGCTGTTTGCTCGGTAAAATATTCATGACCCCCTTTGATCAATGAGGTGTTGTTGCTTTATCTGTTTACCTGAACACATTTTTTTCTTTGTAAGGCACATTGTTTTGTAACGCTGCTTTTGAACAACAAAGTGATATTTAAAATAATTAAATTAATTGGAGGAACCCTTATCCACCCATGAGAGAACCTGTCAGTGCAAAATCTCTCCCTCGTCAAAGGTAAACAGGTTTTTAATCGATTGTGCCAAAATATGAATGCAGTTTGTCTAATTAATATTTTCCATCATTACAAACAATACAAGCCACAACAGTTGTGCCTCGAGCGAGGTGCTACCCATGATACTTTAGGGAAACTTTCACTGTGATAAACATGCATTTATAATCACTTTGGAATCCTTGTTTGTAATAGCAGTCTGTCTCTCGCCCACACTTTTCCATTTGTCCTACAAATCCCTGGCATCGGGACAGGCAATCTGTTCAAAAACTAGGTTGAGCTAATGATAGTCAGTGTGAGATAGTCTGAGGCACACTGATGGACACGTAAACTGGTTTAATATACAGTCAAAACGAAAGTTTGACTGAACAGATGCAGTTCATAACCTTTACATCACTGTATCAGTATCAGCATCAGCCACTGAAAAATACATTGGTCAAAGATTAGCCTGCACAACAAACATATAAAATGAGAAGAAATTACATTAGAATCATGCATAACAGACACTTTTATCCAAATTGACTTACAATAGAGGAACAAAAGCAATTTATCATAGAACCAACAATAATCATATCCAGGTGGAAGTTTTGCAGCTCATCACACTGGTGACTTTTTGAAAAGATTATAATTTGATAAAGTGACTTTTTGATCTAAAGATGATCTGTGTTTGTGAAATTTGACACATTTTCTTTAACAGTTGAATCCCTTGCAAAAAAACCCATGTACATAAAATCATGGCCTGATTGTTTGATGTACATTGTAGTGATTTTACAGCAGTGACATGACCAGTGGCGGTTCTAGCCCATTTCAACTGGGGGGGCCAAGCTGGGGCCAGTTGTACTGTTAGAGGGGCCAGTTACATTTAGACCTTATTGTTGTCCTATCATTTTCTGCACTACTGCAGGCATTAACAGGCAAAATACCGTGTTTATAATCATTCAACAATGTATTTGCATTTCCATTATATTTTTACATTTGCATTACATATTCAGTATTAGTCACAGTAACTGTAATAGACATGATGTCCTTCTTTCTCTTCATTTTGAGAACTATAGAGCAAAAGCAATGGGGACCAAGAAGCTTATTAATTCATTTACTGAAAATAACTGACTTGATACGTCTAACCGTTTACAGGGTTCCTGCACACTTTTTAAAGTCAAATTTAAGGCTTTTTAAGACCTAAAGAAATCAAAATCAATACCGTACATTAGGGGTGTGCAATATTGACAAAAATATATTTCAATATTTTCAACGTTTTGTTGATAATAATTAGATGATATTTTACTGATTGTGTTTTTGTGCTGGTGCCATGGCTGGTTTAGGCCTGTTGTTGACAGCTGACTCACGAAGATATTCATATTTTTCATATTATATGGTCAGTTCACAGCAGTGACAGAAATAATTTTTTTAATTAAGGGGCAATATTTGCCACCTTAAATTGATTTCCAGGGGCATTTTCACCTTTATATGGACATTTTTTCTAAACTTATTTAGAGTTATGCATCACCTTTTATGTCAAATACTAACATTCAAATTAAACAATAATTATACTTATTTATACAATAATACTTAATTATACAATAATTATACAGTACCACTGCTACCAGTCAAATTAATTAATTCAATCAAAATCCATCTTTGCAGTGCAGAGGTGACACAGAAGTGGCATTAATATATTTACACTCCATTTACAATAGCATAAATAAAGCTATGAGATTTTTTTTAAATCAATATTTAAATATGAAATGATTTCTAATTTTAACGTTTTAATTAAAGGATACTTTAAATATGAAACTAAAACCGCCAGTAGGCGGCGGCAAGTCCCTGTAAGAGGGATTCATTCATTCAACCGATTTGTTCAAACGGCTGATTCATTCGGGAAAGAAGCAAGTGATTCGTTCAAAACGCGGATTTCAGACTAGTCAAAATCATCGCTGTGTTGCATTGAGACTCTGCTACGGTTTCATTATGAAATTCTAGTCGGCGAAATAAAGGGAAAACAAACAATATTGACAATATTGTGTCTAAAAAGTTCTCCCAATGTTAACTTATTGTTAATTTAACTGTTGTATAACATAAATATCACAGTTGCAATTGTGCATGGGAAAACTGCACTCTTGCTGATGTGATATTCTAATATAAGAACATAATATGATATAAATATAAGACAAAAACTAATTTGGGGACATAGCCTACCTATGAACTGCACACAGCAGTGAAAGGACGATAGACAAATGCGATGGCACCTCACAGTGCCTACATAGTTAAAACAATGATTACAATATCATAATAGACAATAGGCTACACATCACACACCCCATTCGCACATAAAGAATGAACTTACAACTGAACTGACATTTACCAACTTTCTCCTTCTCTCCTCTCTCGCGTGCAGGAGACAGGCGTTATTCTGCCGCGATTCCCGGGAATGTGATGCGAATTGTCACGTTAAAAAATGCAAATCCACAAAGATAGAATAATAAAAAATAATACGCATACAACGATAACAACGATAGCAAAAAAAAGTTTTGTACAAATTATTTCAAACTCCACATTTAGGGGGGCCACAAGGGGGGCCAAGCTTTTTGTCACAGGGGCACTGGCCCCCCCTGGCCTCCCTCTAGAACCGCCACTGGACATGACAGCACCTGTTAATCTAAAATCAAAGGTAAACGGGTGGTTTATGGATTGCATCACCTCTCCATGCACACTGAGCCATTAAATCATGCGTCAGAGTATGAATACAGTTTGTATTAAATTTTCCATCATTACAAACAATACAAGCCACCCCCATTGCTCCTCAGGTGAAGTGCTACCCATGCTTTAGGGAAACTTTCACTGTAATAAACATGCATTTAAAGATGCAGTCGTGGCCTAATGTTTAGAGAGTCAGACTGGTCACCCGAAGGTTGATGGTTTGATTCTCTATACCGGCAGGAAATGACTGAGATGACCTTGAGCAAGGCACCTCACCTCCAATCACTCCCAGGTGTGTGTGTGTGTGTGTGTGTGTGTGTGTGTATGTTCATTACTAATTACTCTTAATATGTGCACGCTAACTTGGATGAGAAGACACATTGTGAAGTCTTGTTCTAACATTTCCGAGCGTTTATTCTACTTTGATTGCATCCCTGTTCTCTGATCCTTGCCAGTTTGAAAATTACTTCCATAATATTTTCCTTTAGTAAAGCTATGCCCATATCACCCATCACAGAGTTTTGCGTTTGTGGTTGAGACCTCACAGAGATTACACCAATATTAGGGTTCTCTTCTCCAACATGGGAAGGGTGGGAGGGTATCATGTATCACACACACACACACACACACACACACACACTGCCCCTCACCTCTAACTCAGAGACTGTCAAATGCCGGTGTGAGAGAGAAACACTTTGGGATCTTTTCAACTTTAAACTCATTGCAATGGACATCTATGTGTTAGGAACTACTTCTTCAAATAAGTTGTTTTTTTATTTTTTGTTTTGAGATAATTGGTTCAGTAAGATATTTATTTTAAAGTGCAGAATGGTTTTCAACCTTAGCTAGTGTGAAATATTTAATTTATATACTTTTAATGAACTGAATGGTTTTCAACTTTATATCATTTTAAAGAGCAGAATGGTTTTCAAACTTAGTTAGTGTGAAATATATGATATAAATTCTCACTTTCACTGTCCCACCAATTCCCATCTGCTCTGGAATGCGGAGGGAGGGAAGGAGATCCATGCCGTTGCAACATACGCGTGCACACACACACACACACACACACACACGCACACACACACACACACACACACACACACACACACACACACACACACACACTCAGAGACTGTCAAATGCCGGTGTGAGAGAGAGAGAGAGGGGGGGGGTCTTTTCAACTTTAAACTCATTGTAAATCCATTCATACACTGTATGAGATGATTTTATTTTTTGTCACCCATTCGTAAAACTGTATGAATATATATGTGTTATAGGAACTACTTCTTCAACACTCTAAAATGTAAGATGATTTTATTTTTGTGAACCGTTCATAACCTGTAGGCTTCTTCAACTCGCTGAAAATGTAAAGTGTTTTTTTATTTTTGAAATACTTGGATCAGTACATTTAGTCAGATATTTTATTTTATTTTATATACTTTTAAAGATCAATGTTTTTCAACTATAGTTAGTGTTAAATATTATATTTTGTAAATGACTAGATGTAAATTTTATAACCATTTCATTTATATAGAACAGAATTTTTTTAAACTTTTGTGTGAGATATACAACATTATTAGAAAATCTCACTTCCACACGGTCCCCCGCCGGCAATGCCCTCAGGAATGCGAAGGGAGTGATCGCGTGACACA